AAACAGGCTTCTTTACAAAGCAAGTTCTATCCCATAAATTAGTAGTCAAGGTTGAGCCAATTCTTCAAGTTTTAGTGGCACAATAATGAAAATGTGCTCAGTTGGGTTCTAGCAGCAACCAAGCTATATACATATATAATGTATAATAATACATTAGCAATAAAATATGTAAAACCAGATACAACTATTCATTATGAGTTAGAGCTTTGTTTTCAGAACATTATAGTGGCCATGTAATAGCGATTAGGAAAAAAAATGTTGTGTTTCCTGTTTAAGTACTGAAAAAATTAGGGTCAGTAGGTAGGTAGGATTTTTTAAAGACTTAATTGATATCTATGATAGGGATCCAACTTAATACAATGCAGTTTAACAAAGTTAAATTTGCACGAGGACAATTCTATTTTCAATGTCGATGTTCAAAAACCAATTGTACAATGTTTCATCACTCAGGTGTCAGATCATGGAGGGGTCCACCCTCAAAAAAGTCTATCGTCGGCAGGTTTTTCTAGGGTAGGTTGGGAAACAGGAAACACAACATTTTTTTCCCTAGGCCTGATTCTGTGTACAAGGATGAAAGCACCGATTCTCAAACTCTAATTGCCTGTATAAAATTCTGCTGTGGATCCCTGGGTGAGTTTGGGGAGGGGGGCAGATAGTAGATAGCAGAGGAATGATGAGACTGCATATTGAAATAATGTAACCAATGGTTACATCTTTGTAACAGATATGAAGATAAGTTTTCCACTGTTTCTGCCAGTAAAATACCCCTGAACTGCCTTAGTTTATTCACCAGACCAATTTCTGTTCAGTAACTGTGGCGACCTTAACTCTGATTTACAGTGGCAGTTCTCAGCAGTGCCACAGATATTGCTACTATATACAACAGGGCTGGAAATACTGGGTGTGTGTGCACCTTAGTGCACACAAATTTACAGCTGTGCACCTAACTTTTTTTTCTGTGGGGGCACCAGTGCACCCAAAATTTCAGAAAAATAATAACATCATTGTTGTAGTACTTTTCTTTAGAAATGAAACATACCAGTAATTTTGCTGATATTCTATTTTATATGGTGCACCCAAAAAAATTTGTGCACCCAATTCTTTAGGCGAGGTGCGCCAGTGCACCTATTCCCCAAAATGAATTTCGTACAATGTCACCCGTACTTAGCTTTACCATCATGTTAGTGGTTGTAAACATACAGTTTCTGAACCCTGTCTTTTTTGTGCAACTTACACTTCATTGTTTATAAGTAAACTCCAACACAGTGACCTGGACCCAGTATGGGAGCCCAGATTATTGCTGCAGGGTTTCTGTATCTCCCCTAGTCACTACTCCTACACAAATATACAGTGTACATAACTGAGTGGGCAAGAAAAGTGTACATGTACCAGGGCTCAAAATATGTGCACCTTAGTGCACCCAAATTGGAGCTGTGCACCCAATTTTTTTCTGTGTAATGCAAATATTTTTGTATGTACTTTTGTAAATAATAATCTTGGCATACAAGGAAAAATAATAAAATCTTTGTTGTAAGCCCCCGGCCCCATTTCAGATTCATGCTCAGAAGAGGAGCAGTAAGATCTGCAATTAGTTTTTGTTTTATATGGTGCAGCCAAAAAATTTTGTATGCACCTAATATTTTAGGATGGGTGCACCAGTGCACCTATTCCCAAACATGAATTTTGATCCCTGTTGTACCGGTACTCTTCACCATTGAGAGGAATCAGTTAACACAGTCAAGCTGTCATGGACACTGAGAATTAAGCTGAGCCTGAAAATTGCTAAAACATGATTATTATTATTATTATTATATTAGGCTGAGGAATAAAAGCTACAGTTTCTAAGTTTTCCCACTGTTCCTGTCGGAAACCTGACTGCAGATTGACCGTTTGTTGGCCGAGTGTATTTGCTAAGTCCCAATTTAACTGAAGGTGATCTACGAAAATATCATTGTCGGAGTATCTATTACAGTTCCACAGCAGTACAGGCAGTACAATTCAGACAGTCCTCAGCCTGAATGGACAGAAATTATACATAATTACCACATGGCCCTTTAAAAGCTTGATAAGACCCTTAAGTTTAAGGCTGGCAAAATCAGCACGAATACTGCATGACTTGTCCCGGAGGTAGGTACCGTCACCGCCGTACTGCAGAAACACCACGTCTCAGACTCCTAGGTCCCGACGTTTCAGTCAGCACACTGGTAGAACCACGACTATTCTCGAGATAACTCTGCATCTTGTCACTGCCTTCCAAAGTCATGCTTCTAGGACAGTCCAGAGAAACTGTTGTACAATCTCCTGTCCACATCTGAACCTGTGGCTCTCCCTGTGGTCTGTGCGGACACGTAATCTCACGGACAAGACGATTCCGCCGTCA